TATGTTATAAAATGTTATAAAATGTTTCAATACCGCATTTCGGTGATAAAACATCTCTATTTGAATCGAAATGCATTATATATTTCTGGAATCACTTATTTTGCTTCATATTTGTTCAATCAGAAAGGTTTTAGATAAATAAAATATCACCGAAAACACGTTTCCCTTGTGCCATTTATGGACACCGTTATTATTCTCTAGTCAAGCCCACGTTCCTTTTGACAATGCATCATATACAAAATTTCTAATACTCCGATGATACCCAGATGTTAAAGAATACTGGACATTGTTCTTATATATATTTCTTGTTAAATAAATCACAATACAAAATACATCATTTGTTTTAAATAGTTTAATAAACGATAGCGATAGAGTACACTTACTAATGCAATTTTACTTGACGTTGAAAAGCCATGCAGAAGTCATGTTTAACCACCTCAAGATTTGACGTCAATTCAAAATTGTACTGTTATAAAATGATAGGACTTACATGATTAAGATTTCCATTTCTCCGTTATAGGTTACATCTATAACTGAGTTTTTATCTACAAGCACACCGTTCCTTTACAATTTGTTGAAATGTTCGGTCAAGAAAACCATATACAAAAGGATTCACTATAAAGTTAACGACAAAAACACTGTACAAGAATCGAAAAACAACAAATTCTGATGGAGTCATAGTCGTCCAGAAGTTTTCTCTTGCCGTTTCCATGGTCATTAATACAAGCTTCAGACAGATAGTTACCGCATAAATAATGGAGATTAGTAGAAACACCAACGTCAGTCGCAAACCCTTGATTTTGATTTTAGATGTTTTGACCTGTTTTGTGTCCTGTCTTTGTATCACTGGCGTGTTGGGGACACCGTGTTGGTTAGTTTGTGTTTGGCTAGTGTGTGCACTAATTGGCAGACCGTTTTTCGTAAGTACTGTACAACTCTCGTCCATTCGTTGACCTTCATCACCTTGACCTGGTGACGTTTGAGGAAAGTCGTCGACTTCTGGTTCTGGCTCTCCTGGACACGTTATGCCATCGCTGATTATTGCTATGGAATTTGTCGACGTGAGAACGTCCTGTCCTGGTGATCCAGTGTGGCTGTTCATATCCATTGAAGAATCGCTTTTAAGTTTGTATGGTTTGGACCTTTCTGTCGCTTGCTTTCGACCATGTTCCTCGCGTGCGGGACACAGCCACTGGTTGGATTGTAGCCGGAGGCGTGCCCTGCTTCGTACGTATATCGATCTTATTATTAGTATATATAGCACAACTAATGCTAGAAAATGGACCGACCCGTATATAAACATTATTGTTTTGTATGCCAGGTGCCACATCCTTCCCTCACCAGATGGGACGTTGATGCACAGTTTTCCTGTAACGTTCCCAGTCCACTTGGTCACGGCCACAGACCCGTACACCACTACAGACGGGAGTGATATAACGACTCCGGCAAAGACGATGAGAACAAGAGATAACCTTTTCCATCTAAGCGTCATCTGTGACTTAAACGGCGCACAAATCTTGAGGTAACGATCGATAGTTATGAGAAGAAGAAGATGAGAGGACATGGTAACAAATGCTATACTTGAAAAGGCCATCATTTTACACACAATGTCACTATCAAAACGCAGTGGATTCACCTCCGTTATTATTTCAGATCCAGAACACACTGCGCTTGCACAAAGATCAAAAAGTGCGAGAAACGGAATGAAGAAACGGTCTTCGCCTGAAGGTTTTTTGCCAGACCAATATATATACATAACAAACGTGTTCCCCACAGTTCCCAGAAACAAATAGACAGAAATTATTATTAAAACTGGCCTCAGCTCCTTGGCAAGGAAATCACTCCAATAATCCAACATGTTTATATCTGATACAGAACTATTTCCAAACATCTCCATGACGGCAGCACCAGTAAAATCTAACACTATAAATCAAACATCTAACACATCCAACAGTCTCAATGCAAAGTCATCGCAACATGTGAGCACAATGGCAATAATCCGTTCAACGATACACCTAATATATACCAGATTGTAGGCGGAAACCTCCTACACTGCCCTTAGTGTACAGACCCGCCGACCCAGAAACCACTAAAACCACCACTTCCGTTTCTCTACAGAAGTACGAAAATTATGTGACCATTGCCGTATATACATGTATAGCCTATGGGAAACGTTTTTTTTTAATAAAAAAAAAAAAAAATCTGCTGGCATGATGGCTTCTTTTTGCATTATGAATCCTGCCATTACTCGATTGTATAATTTGGTTGTCAATGAAAAATGGAATTGGTGGCAAGTTTTAGCAATTTGTGTCTTCTTTCTACACCTAGCTATTTTTTCTATCTACGACACTAATAATAAGAAAAATGGCTACAAGTTCATTTAGAACAAACAATGAAGTTCATACGATGCCCTTCCTTGACAACCTACATGTCATAAAAACGACGGAACCTTTTGGGGAAATGGGGATAACTGGAATGGATAATCCAAAAGTACAAAACAGTTTCAGTGTAAAGAGAATAAACAAGCAAAGACCAATTAAGGAAAAGAACAACAGAGAAAGGTTAGGTGGTTAGCCTTATTTTAAGCGATTACTCGAAACCATCCAGATGATATATCGCGATCATTGCATAGCAACAGTCTTAAAGCATCCAATGGTTGACATCCTTGTACAGACAAAATACTTAAAGAAAACGTCACAAGGAGTGCAACGTATCGTTTATCGGGAGAGAAGGGAAGGGGATTTGAGGGTTGAAGTGGTGAACGACACGGAAACCCATGAGGGAACAGATTCAACCCTAAACATTTAGATTGGCAATCACTGATAATGTCAAACAACAAAATCATGTTATTGACCCAGTTCATTCAAAGGTGTTTGACAGAGAACAATCTGTTCAAGCAACAGATAAAAGGAGCCATCTGAGTACGCCAAAGTACAAGGGCCAGTTCTAAATCAAGATATGAGGGCTCATTGACTCTCGGACATCTTTGACTAAGTGTATACCGTAGCAGAATAAAATCGTCATTTCTTATTGTAATCTAGTATTTATTTTACATATTTAGTGAACATGTACGATTTTACCGGACATTTGTCTGATGAAGGTGACAAAGTACATATTGTAAGTGTTACTGTATAACATAAAAAGTAAGTGTATTATTCATCGTTGTTTGAAGCCATTTAAATCGTTTCGTGGAACACACTTTTATGGATACGCCATACAAACAAACAGTATATAAATGAAATTTGTTGTATTTATTTTCGTAGTTCCATAGCAGCCACGAAAACCACAACGAACATTTCATGACATACAGTATGTGAAGCTGTATACGATCTATATTTATCGACCTAAAGGAAAAGGTTAATGAATTATTCTATAATATGTTGGTTTGAATATATATGTTGAGTCGGGCCTCCTGCTGTTGTATGTGGGCACCTGATGCATACTGGGAATGTCCGACCTCAGGCGTGATGGCTATATGGACAAGGAACAATATATATATATATTTCGGGAATGTCTGACCCCACCCTCAGGCTCGGATGTGGTCAACCAATGCACTGGGCCAGTCGTCATTGTCAAAAAACCACAGCAGCAGTTATAGCTCAACGAACCATTCCAAAAATGTATTTCATGTCCGTTTTTGTTTTCCATTGTTTGATTTGACCCTTGTTACCGAGTGTAGTAAACAAAACACCGCGGTCTCTAAGTCTATCCACTGTTAGCTATGTTTACGTTCTAACCACTATTTAAAAATAACGACTGCCTAATTAAGAAAACAACTTTATATATTGACCTGTAGTTATTTATATGTTAGATGGCCTATGGGAAAAGGAAATACCACGTGCTAAGTTTTCTTATCTGAAGTAGTGGGCTGAAGTAGTGGGCTGAAGTAAGGAGCGGATTAGTTAACGGCAGTTTTAATCTCTTTGAAAAAACTGCCATCAACATGTTAATTATTGCGAGTTATTGATTTGAAAAACTACACCGCTGCTAACTCCAGCCCACTAAAGTATGGTGTTTTCAGTCCTAATACTGCTGTAGGGGTGGTAAACTGTTAATATGTTGGTCCCTGCATCAGCTAGAGGTGATTATGACTGTTAACGTTATATCATTACTTTCCCCATATCGTGTTTATACATGTACTGTAATAAGGAGATCGATTGGTTCAGTATTCCACACGGGACCTCCATAAGCCAATGCTACTTTGAACAAATCCGCATTTTGTTTTATATGAACAGATTTATTGGCACATTTCGCATTCTGTCAAATTAAAATATTGCATTTTTGAGAGAGCCCATACATTGTATAATGTTGGTACAGTTTGTAAATTGAAATGCCTTCTTTTAACCTGTAAAAGACATGACACGCAGTTTCTGATGTTGTTTCCTATCGTACAAAATACATTTCAAAGCTTAAGATAGAAACCTAGTAAAACCTTGATAAGTTACACATACGTTAGTTAATTATTTAACTGGTTACGATAAAATGTTAACTAAATCTAACATCAACCGTTTGTCAGCGTTAGATGCAGGTTGTTATTTTGATGATGATAAGTGTCCAAATATCAAAACATTGTTGCTGTAGTTCAACTGAAGAGTGCTACATAAAAGGAACTTGATAGAAATATATCTGACATGTAATTAAAACGTGCACGGCTCTCATCTTACTAATGTTTAGCGATCATATTTATAGCGAAACCACATCTCAAGCTGTTACAGAGTGTGGTTCAACGATATTGGACCCACCAAGACATTGTACAGAGCGGGGTTCCATTGGACCCACTAAGACATTGTACAGAGCGGGGTTCAAATGGACCCACTAAGACATTGTACAGAGCGGGATTCCATTGGACCCACTAAGACATTGTACAGAGCGGGGTTCCATTGGACCCACTTAGACATTGTACAGAGCGGGGTTCCATTGGACCCACTAAGACATTGTACAGAAATCGCCACGGTGTTCAGTAGTTAAACACAACCAAACTCACTCGTCGTATTTGGTAATTGATCCTTTGTTTAATTCATTATAACACTTACATTCTCTCACATTGTGTAACATCGGGTTAGTATACTCGTGTATATACATATTAAACATGAAATAGTGACACGTTCAAGTAACCCTATAGTGTTTTATACATACAAGTTTAGGTTCCTGATACTTTAAAACAATATATGGTAAAGCATTCATGATCAAATAACAATCATGTATGTAGTCAAGTAGCACTGAATATAAAAGTGAACTTCCTGTATACATCAAATATGCGACAATGATATTGAAACATTTACCTATTTATATACAATTAAGTGTTTAAGATTACGTGTATTAGACACAGCTCATAGTCGGGTAAACAGAGATTCGGCAAAAGATTTTACGAACAAGTCGTACGTCTGATATGATGTGTATCATTAAGATTTAAACACTTTCTGGGATATATTTACAATGCGATAAGGATTATTATTTACATAAAAAGCTTTACGAGATATGTTTTACAATGAGACCATGTGACATTGAAATAAAAGTTTGTTAAGGTTAATCATGGAGCTCCGGCATAAACGTAGACACCTCCCGCAGTGTTGACTGCGCCGAGCGTATTGTAAATACAACCACAGAAAAATGGTGCTTTACAATCTCCCATCGTGCCTCTGTGTCGGCTTCCGGAATAGACTCGATCTCGAATAAAGCGTCTACTAGACCTGGAAAACTGCTTCCGGCGTAAGAATCCACACTACTCTCGGCAAATAGGATGTGTCTGAAGTCAAGTAGAGCAGAGAGTACATATACACATTTAACATGTTTTAGATTAAAAAAGGAATTTGCAATTTCTAACAGATATATATTAAATTTCGACTTTTGACTATTAAAACGGTGGTACGCAAAACTTCATCCCCGCGAATTTCTTTAAGTAGGAAAACAAGAGAAAACCGAAATGATAACACCTATAAAATTTGGTAAGAGAAACAGTATGCCAAAAATTAATTACACTGCACCACAAACAGTGTTTGTCAGATTGGTGTCAGCTACAACTGAAACAGATCTAGAGGTGGCGGTGCGTTCAACCCATCAATTCAAGAAAATAGTCCATGGATACCATTGAAAAGGTACAAAGCAAAAAAGACGAGTTCCGGAAGGGTAAGCGTATTTCTGCTTTATCGTTGACACTCGCCATGTAAAATATAGGTCAAATCCAAACATTTTCGGAATAAACCACAATATCATACATTAATATATAATTAAATGCATAATATATTCTAAAAGGCTTTGGCTAAAGACAATACAGTGATTTGTATACTCACAAACAACTTATCTCTACTAAATATAAAGAAGCAGTTCATAAATCGTTTGAAGCTGAATGCTACATTTTGTGATATTTCTTAAAAGTTAAAAAGCTGTATTTCGCTGGTAAGTTTTGCATTCGACTGCAACAGTCGTTCTATTTTTGGAAACACACTAAAATTCGTATTGCTTAAGACCACGCTGTTCTTGTCAATAGACTGATATATTCGGTTGTGACAGCCAACCATAACACAGAAAAAAGTATACAAAAATCTGTATCTAGGTAGCACTTTGTCTGTTTACAACAAAAAAACTAACCTGGACTGGGGTCGACCTGGTAGTCCCGCGGGATCCAAAAACGCCCGCTCCATGAGGAGCAGCTGGTCGTTAATACGGCGAATGGCGAACGGGCTATAAAGCAATTTTTGAAAATAATTATTGGTTGTGTCTATCTGACTGTAAAGAAGTTTCTTAATGGATTTATTGATAATTGCATACGGCTGAACTACGAAATAAAACATATGTATTTTACAGAGAAACACCTCAGCCCTTGACATGGCAGATGCTCCCTGTGACCCTTAACCTTGACCAGATGTTCCCTGTGACCCTTAACCTTGACCGTTGACCACCAAATTGTAATCAGGTGTTGATCTTGATGTTACCTTATGATGTTTATGAGATACGTGAGGTACGCAAATCATTTACCCCTGTTGTATGTACAGGTTATGTACAGGTTATGTACAGGTTATGTACAGGTTATGGCAAGATTGCAGTGGAAAATATCTAAATGAATAACTCGAATATTAAAGCAAAGACACGCTACCAGTCATAAATCAAGATTTTTACGAAACAGATGTTAGTGATGCGATTTATACATGCAATACTAACCACATTTATTAATTATATACAAATCTGTCAAAGAATTTCGGGAATCGTCTAACAAGGAGGTAGTCATATGTAGCATTGTCAACGTTTATATAGACCAATATGATGATTTGTTTATCTACCATCCACTGAATGTGAACAAATTACAGCATACTATTTAACATAATGTATTTTGAGTATACTCTATATAGTGATTAAAACTTTATAAAGAAGAAGGAATAACTTACTCATTTTTGTTTACGTTGTCAATTAAAGTTTTGAATGTCTCTGCTTCAGAAGAAAAATTGCCTGCTGCCTGCTTTATCCAATCTAAAAAATGTAGACCATCATGATAAGAAAAATATACAACAGTGTATTTCATCGTCAATTCACATCACATATACCAAAAGACAAAATATATCACGTTGTCAATACACAAAGACGAAATGTACCACATCGTCAATACCCAAAGACAAAATGTATCATATCTGTAATACACAAAGACAAAATGTACCACATCGTCAATACACAAAGACAAAATGTACCACATCGTAAATACACAAAGACAAAATATACAGTGTCATATGGTCAATGTACAAGGACAAAATGTACTACAATGTCAATACACGAGGACAAAATGTACTAAATTGTCAATACACAAGGCCAAATGTATCACATCGTTAAAACACATGGACAAATGTATCACATCGTCAATACACAAAGACAAAATGTTCAGTGTCATATTGTCAATACACGAGGACAAAATGTACTACGTCGTCAATACAAAAGGAAAAATGTACTACATCGAAAGTACAAAAAGACAAAAGATATCACATCGCAAATACAAAAAGACAAAATATATCAAATCATCAATACAACAAGACAAAATGTACCCCATCGTCAATACACAAAGACAAAATGTACAGTATCTTATTGTCAATACACAAGGACAAAATGTACCACATCGCAAATACAAAAAGACAAAATATAGAACATCATCAATACACAAGACAAAATGTACAGTATCTTATTGTCAATACACAAGGACAACATTTACTACACCGCCAATACACAAGGACAAAATGTACCACATAGCAAATACAAAAAGACAAAATATATCACATCATCAATACAACAAGACAAAATGTATCACATCGTCTATACGCGTATGTGTCAATACTAACAGTAAGAACATCATCGGAACCTCACTCTCAAACTCTACATGTTATGGAGTTTATCTGACCTTAGTTTTAGTTCCTATTTCTGAACGTTTTCTAAGTATACATGCAAGTTATTGATTGACATATTCCAAGTGTGAACTGCCGTGATGTCTACCCCAGTTTAAGGTATCATTTTCTTTATATATTGACCTAGGATTCGTTCTAGTATGTTACTGTGCGGTACTGTGTGGTTCTGTGTGGTACTGTGTGGTTCTGTGTGGTACTGTGTGGTACTGTGTGGTACTGTGTGGTTCTGTGTGGTACTGTGTGGTTCTATGTGGTTCTATGTGGTTCTGTGTGGTACTGTGTTGTTCTGTGTGGTACTGTGTGGTTCTTTGTGGTTCTGTGTGGTTCTGTGTGGTACTGTATGGTTCTATGTGGTCCTGTGTGGTTCTGTGTGGTTCTGTGTGGTACTGTGTGGTTCTGTGTGGTACTGTGTGGTTCTGTGTGGTCATATGTGGTACTGTGTGGTTCTGTGTGGTACTGTGTGGTACTGCCTCCAAAAGACCTTTGACAAACCTGCTATACGTAACATAACCTCTAAGTTACTGAAATTTATGACCAACTACACTTACCAAAGTTTATACCTTGACTTCTTAGAAGTATTCCGTACTCTGTGTCCAATGTGTTGACCAACGCCTGTAGATTGCTAGCAAAGTCTGTCACATCAAAAGGAATTATGAGAGAGTCTGCAAGACTTCTCACCAGTTCGGCCGTAGTTTGAGCTACAGCTTGGTGACTCTGTAGAAAGACAAAGCATACATTAATACAGAGGTGTTCCCATAAGTTCAGGACCACACATGAGTATCTTCCTAAACATTTTGGGAAATAGCGATAATGACCACGTATGAAATCTATCAAATGATTCATTAAAACTGTGAAAATAACACAATAAACGTTATCTACATTGTACTAAAACTATAAAAAAAAAATACATATTAAATNAAAAAAAAAAAAAAAAAAAAAAAAAAAAAAAAAAAAAAAACCATATTAAAAGAAGGCAAATTATCCCGATGTTTCTGGACAAATTATATTGCCGTTTCCTATCCGCTAGACGGCCTGAAAACTAGCATGTAACACTATGATGTATTCAGTAAGCATTCAAAATGACTGTATGAAATGTTTTTCAGGGAGGATATCATCCTCTGCTTTGTCGACAACTCCCGCAAATACATCTGAGGAAATCATTTACAGGCACGTATAAGATTTGGTATTAGCAGCGTAACATCATACATCAAATGTTATATTTTAACGTGATGTCGACACGAGGAGAAAGCTGTGTTGATACCGGGGGTCTGCGAACAAAAGGATGATTTCTAAATACTAATATCTTATAAAATATCTCATTGGAAATAGGTTTTTGAACGGAAGAAGTTAATTTGTGTTATTGAGTCATATTTTCAAAGAACGAGCATACTGTTTCAAACTTAATAGCAGGTCAGTTAAAAAGTACAGATAGATTTAAAATAAATAAAATTGCATTTTATTTGGTTATTAATTTCATTTAATTCTGTTAACATTTAACATAAAGTTGTTTTAGATTTACTCTTTGAAATATCCACATGTCAAATGTTTTCATTTTTAATAAATTCTTTGTTAAACATGTCTCTTTTAATATTAAAGACTGATCTTACCTTGAATCCCCTATCTATGAGCTGGTCCACAGCGTAAAACGTCTCGTACATAGTATGGTACAGAGGATAGGACCCCAGTTTGTAGGTATTCTGTAAGAAAACAACTTAAACAATTATCTTCATTATCATTAGAATAAATCTTTGCGATATCAAATGTCTCTTTCACACTTACAAGAGAGAAGTTTCTTGAATGAGAATTAATTATTTATTAAAAAGAACATGCCGAGTCGGAAGTTTCTTTTTGTTTCATAAGAAGCGTTACACAACATTAAGTATGATATTTCAACATATAACACTACATTATGTTCAGCTTACCTGATCAAAAACATACATGGACAATTCTTGTTAGTTTTATATAATTTATAGAGTACATACACGGACTATCCCCGTTAGTTTAATATAATTCATAGAGTAAGAACATAGCTTATACGTATACCTGATCACAAACAATCGTATAATTTATAGAGTAAGAACTGAGCTTACCTGATCACAAATTACATGGACAATCCTAGTTAGTTTCATATAACAAAAATACACTAATAATTCCAATTAGTTTATATTATTTATAGAGTAAGCATACATGGATAATCCTAGAGCGGGACTAAGCTTACCATGTCGTACGTGTACTGGAAGTCCACACATGGAATGCCAGCGTGCTGTATAAACCCAGCATAGTCACTGCCCGCACCGAGCGTCCCAATACTGCTCCCCAGGGTAAAGATTCACACAACCACATCGGTAAAGGTTCACACAACCACATCGGTAAAGGTTCACACAACCATTGGTAAAGGTTCGCACAAAGACATCGGTAAAGTAAATCCATGGACATCGGTAACAGAATGTATGGGACAGGAGAAAATAAAAATAAAAACATTTAGTTACATTTTCATTGTGTTAACAATCATTCCATTCATCATTTTAAACATATAAAGAATATTCATTTACATTTCCGTTGAATATTATGTATACTTTACGAGTATGATAATTTTCTGATATACCGCCCCTTAACTGAAGGGCATTCCATTACAATGGTAAAGCTTTATCGGAATCCATAATTCTTGCATCACTTCAAGCATATGTTTCAATCTTATGTTAAGTACAACCTTCGTGAAACGGTGATTAAGTTGTTTGACAGTGAGTATAGGTCAGATGTAATATTTCTGTCCTAAACACTACACTTGTGACAAATTTCGAGGTGTTCGATAACTGTATACTTGCTGTGGTTTTGATTTGTCCTGAACAGGGAAGCTCTTCAGCCATTTATCGTAGACCGTATGTAAACCTTGGTTCACGTCCTCAGCATCAGGATTGGGCACCTACCAATAACCAAAGGATATATATCTCTTACAGAACTTCACCACCAACAATTAACATGATTGGGCACCTACCAATAACCAATGGATATATATCTCTAACAGAACTTCATCACCATCAATTAACAGGATTGGGCACCTACTAATAACCAAGGGATATCTATCTCCTACAGAACTTCGCCACCAACAATTGACAGGATTGGCCACCTACTAATAACACGGGAATATATATCTCTTACAGAACTTCACCATCGACAATTAACAGGATTGGCCACCTACTACCTACTAATAACCAAGGGATATGAATCTCTTACAGAACTTAACCACCAACAATTAACAGGATTGTCCACCTACTAATAACCAGGTGATATCAATCTCTTACAGAACTTCACCACCAATAATTAACAGGATTGGGCACCTAGCAATAACCAATGGATATATATCTCTTATAGAACTTCACCACACTAATAACCAAGGGATATATATGTCTTACAGAACTTCCCCATCAATAATTAACATGATTGGCCACCTACTAATAACCAGGTGATATCAATCTCTTACAGTACTTCACCACCAACAATTAACAGGAATGGACATCTACTAATAACCAAGGGATATATATCTCTTATAGAACTTCACCACACTAATAACCAAGGGATATATATCTGTTATAGAACTTCACCACCAACAATTAATAGGATTGGGCACCTACCAATAACCAATGGATATATATCTATTACAGAACTTCACCATCAAGAATTAACAGGATTGGGCACCTACTAAAAAACCACCAACAATTAACAGGATTGTCCACCTACTAATAACCAGGTGATATCAATCTCTTACAGTACTTCACCACCAACAATTAACAGGATTGGCCACCTACTACCTACTAATAACCAAGGGATATATGTCTCTTACAGAACTTCACCACCAATAATTAACAGGATTGGGCACCTACCTATAACCAATGCATATATATCTCTTACAGAACTTCTCCACCAACAATTAACAGGATTGGCAACCTACTAATAACCAGGGGATATATATCTCTTATAGAACTTCACCACACTAATAACCAAGGGATATATATGTCTTACAGAACTTCCCCATCAATAATTAACATGATTGGGCACCTAGCAATAACCAATGGATATATATCTCTTATAGAACTTCACCACCAACAATTAACATGATTGGGCACCTACCAATAACCAAGGGATATATATCTCTTACAAAACTTCACCATCAACAATTAACATGATTGGCCACCTACTACTCACAAGGGGATCTATATCTCTTACAGAACTTCACCATCAATAATTAACAGGATTGGGCACCTACTAATAACCAAGGGATATCTATCTCCTACAGAACTTCACCACCAACAATTGACAGGATTGGCCACCTACTAATAACCAAGGGTTTTATCTCTTACAGAACTTCACCATCAACAATTAACAGGATTGGCCACCTACTACCTACTAATAACCAAGGGATATCTATCTCTTACAGAGCTTCACCACCAACAATTAACAGGATTGGGCACCTACTAATAACCAAGCGATATATATCTCTTATAGAACTTAACCACCAACAATCAACAGGATTGGCCACCTACTAATAACAAGGGGATATATATCTCTTAAAGAACTTCACCATCAACAATTAACAGGATTGGCCACCTACTAAAAACCAAGGGATATATCTCTTTTACAGAACTTCACCACCAACAATTAACAGGATTGGCCACCTACTAATAACCAGGGGATATCAATCTCTTACAGAACTTCACCACCAACAATTGACAGGATTGGCCACCTACTAATGACCAAGGGTTTTATCTCTTACAGAACTTCACCATCAACAATTAACAGGATTGGCCACCTACTACCTACTAATAACCAAGGGATATCTATCTCCTACAGAACTTCACCACCAACAATTAACAGGATTGGACACCTACTAAAAACTAAGGGATATCTATCTCTTATAGAACTTCACCACAAACAATTAACAGGATTGGCCACCTACTAAAAACCAAGGGATATATATCTTTTACAGAACTTCACCACCAACAATTAACAGGATTGGCCACCTACTAAAAACCACCTACTAATAACCAAGGGATATATATCTTTTACAGAGCTTCACCATCAACAATTAACAGGATTGGCCACCTACTAATAACCAGGGGATATTTAGTTTTTAACAGGATTGGACACCTACTAAAAACTAAGGGATATCTATCTCTTATAGAACTTCACTACAAACAATTAACAGGATTGGCCACCTACTAATAACAAGGGGATATATATCTCTTAAAGAACGTCACCATCAACAATTTACAGGATTGAATATCTACTAATAACAAGG